CGGGAGGAATCTGAGGTGGGGGGATATGTTAATGATTTCTCGGAACGAACTGTAATATTCCCTCCCTATTCTTAGAGTAGTGATGCATATGTATTAGAGTAGATGAATATGTAACCACTTATACAATAAAAGGGAGCCCCTTTGGCTCCAGGGAGCTCCATTGCGCCCAGCACTGTATTCTTTGCTCCACTGACTTTGTCCCCAATAAAACTTTTTTTTATATATACGTGGGCTTGTTTCTCACACCTTTGATTTTTACCATTTCTGTTGAAGTCTCCCAGAAGGAAGACTGTTTTGTTCTGATAAGCTTGATACTTCGCTATGGTTTGTATAATTTAAAAATATCATAGGCTATTTTGGGCAGTGATCCTAAAACTCCTCACTTTGTTTCAATGGCTACACAAAATATTTTCTAAGACCTTTGACATTTTTTTTGGAAACATCTGTGAAAAAAAACTCCTAAAATGTCACTGTCTCTACAAAAGCAATAGGCAGGACATGTTCACTTTACTTCTCAGTCTTGTATGTAAATAATTAGGTGTGTGCTTAACATTACGTTCAAACCTCATTCCACTCATTTATCACATTGGGTCAGAGTTTGCAAAAATCAAGACTTGCGTGTGTGACAAATGTTAAGTGTATGTTGGTGGAGCATTCATTGTGGGGAGCTGATAGCTTGTTCGAAAGTTGATAAGCCTACTTTTATCCGCTTTGTTAACCTGTCTAACTCTTGTTAACCATGGCGTAAAAAGGGAGTGTGCAAATATGTCCAGGCCTGCCTGTACTTGGAAAAGTGGTTTTCACAGACTAGGGCTCTTATATGGTCTATTTGCTTCTGCTCCTCGCTGTGTGGATGTAAAAATTATTGTTCCTCTGCATCAGTAGGAACCTACTGCACTCAAATTGAATGAGGTGGTCGGAAAAAGCCACTGGAACATCTGTTCAGAGAAGGGTCAAAGCACACGGGACTGCTGTGAGGCATTCACCTCTGCTTTCCCCTCCCGTCCACACACGGCCCTCATTTGAAATGGTAAAACTCTTTCTGCTGTTGCATAATAAACCAGCAGCTGAAGCAGGTGGCCAGTCCACATTGTGGAGGCCTGGTGTCATGGTGGGTTGGCGTGAGAAGGCTGGCTGATTGTAAGTATTTGTGAAAAGCATAAATATTTGCATAGTGCTTGTAATTATTTGTCAGACTGTGGTGTTCATTCGGTGAGGAGATGTAGAGCTAGAGAGGGAGCTGGCATGGCTGTAATTGCTGCCCGACTTGTGGGAGCCTTTGGGTGAGAAAGACTTGAAGCCAGAGCCTGCTGCAGCGTGACAGACGCCTGCCAGAGCAGCCTGGCATTCGGATGCCATTGCGCTGGGCTCTTGGGGACCCTGGACGTGGAAGGATCACACGACTTTGAAGGAGATGTGTAGGTACAGACCAGGATTTTCAAGGCCTGCCTGCTGGCAGAGGTCACAGACATTGGTTTGTCTGAGTTGTCTCTGTCCTGAAAATTGCACAGCGCCTTCCTTGTGCAGAAGCCATCCTTTGGAGGAGCTTTTCTTTAATTATAAGATACAAAAAAGATTTGTGACATTATTTGATTTTTCCACAGCCCAGTTTTTTAAAATGGGAGGAATTAGTTACTGGCTTGCACTCCTGCACTGAGGGTTCCTGAGCCCCTGGGCAGATCGTCGCTGTGGTCAGAAGGCAGAGGCGAGGCAAGATGGGCCATGCCCACGGTAAAGCATGCGGCATCAGAGGGACTGCGTAGTGTAGATGCATGTTGACCACAACCTTTTAACAGAGAACTCATTGAATATGTGGACTGTGAAGTCTTGTTAACCAAAGACAGTGTCTTTGAAACTTCTTGGGTCAGTAGACTGTGGCTAGCATTTTACTCTTTAAGAGAGAGACCATTTTAATTTATTTTTGGATTACACCTATTTCATTGCGGCCCACTCTGGAATGTAGTTAGTCATAACCAGAGTTTAAAAAAGAAAAAAAAAAAAAAACAAACCCAAACCAAAAAACCCCCAAGCTACTGAATTTGAGATTGTTGCTGAATAACCAACTTTCTATGGTTTCCATGGCTATTCAGAGTTCTTAAAGGAATGTATCTGAACAAAGATGGAGACACTGGTGTTTTTCACAAATATTGCCAATTTATAGGGTACGCTCTCAATATTAGAAACTACCATTAAAGTCTAAGTAATGTGGAACAATGCATAAATGAGCTATATATGCTATTTAAGTATCTCTTGCTTTAAATAGCAGCTCCAGGGACCCAGGACTGGAATAGCAGACATGTTGTTGGACGTAGATGAGGTTTCACTGGCAGAGCTCTCTAGCATCTGGCTTAGGAAAATGTTGTTCCCCTTACAAATGCCAAAGCTGCATACCTTTTTACTTCTGTACTATAGTTTTTAACATTATGGTGAGTATGGCCAGCAGTTGAAGTTCATCGTGGATACTTTGGACCTGGATGATACAGATTGAAAGGTCCTTTAGTTTTAACCTTTTTTTTTTCTTCTATAATTCTGAAGTGGATGGATTATACTTTTCTGATACGTTTTTGTTTTGAAGTGTTATTATTCCATTATTCTATTTGTTTGCTGAATCGGTAACTTGCCATAGCTTCCTTATTTCTTGGACTTGTATTCAAGCTGTAAAAGTTAACTTCACTAAACATAAAAAATAAAATTGCCATTCAGCCACCACTGCCTTCTATTTTGAAAGTATACTTGCACAATGTACTTATGCACGTAGTATTTTTAATTTCCAGCCTTGGTGCCAACATGAGACCATTCTGTTTATTCCCCACAGTTGGAGCTTTGTGTGTTTTGGGGAGGATTTATGTTTTGCAGCAGCAGCAGTTTTAGCAGCTGTGTGCTCTGAGGCCCCCATCTCCTCTGGCATGTGAACTGAGAGAAGGGCAGTGTGGGAGCCGGGTTGAACTGTCCCTGTTCTGTGTCTTCAGCAAACTGCAGAGCAAGGCAAGAGCCTGTCCACTGCCCACTTTCTGGAGGGCTGAAGGCAAGAAGCCTGAGCTTGGGTGTTGCAGCAGATAGTCATGTCAAGGAGATGATAAGCTGGGTGTCTTTTCAAGACACTTCTTCAGAATTATTCGGGACTCTGATCAGCCAATCTGGTTGTGAGACTCTGGGGAGTTATATCAGATACGCATGTCTGCAGACACGCATGTGAAATCCCCTTCTCCAGATCGGACAGTCACTGATGCTGGAAGTATCCTGGGAGGAAAATAGTACGTGGTGACTTGGCGCCTGAAGGCACATACGTGGCTCAAATGCATTGCACATTTTGAATCCCTTGGCAAAGGCTAAGAAAAGCCACCCGTCTTGTATGACTGCTTGCTCGAAAGCAGGGGGGGTCCTCTGAACATCCCGATGGCCCCTCCAAGGGCTGAAGAAACACCAGGAAAAAGCAGCCTCAGTGTGCTCGAGCCCCTGGCACTGGCAGTGTGGCACCCCTGTGCTGTACATTAGCCACAGGGAGCCCCTCAAAAATGGGAGCACTCAGGGGTGATGTTGCTCTGGGTGGGCAGCAGTGAGAGCTGGATGAGAGGTTCCCTGCTGCTGTCAGCCTGCTGATGTCCTGTGGTCGTGGCTGCTGCATGTAGCACACAACCCAGTGAAGCTGTTGCCTATTGCAAGGAAGTGCCGGGCCAAGAACAGTGCTGCCTTATATATAAAAATAAGGTTTATATTTATATTTTTATATATGACTTTTCTAAAAGTAGAAGATAGGGAAGGTGAATCCAGCTTCTTTGAAAGTTAGTGGTACTGTCGGCAGCAAGGAAATAATGAGCATCGAGCTAGATCCCTTTCAGGGTTTATTCAGTACCTTTTTGCCTCTTGAATAAGGCAATTACATGCTTTTTGCTATGCTTCTTGGTTTTTATCTTGGTGGACCCTCAGCTGCAGGTAGAAAAGAACTAAAATACACAAGGAGTTCTGCAAATAACGTTTCAACACGGGAGACGGTATCGGCTAACGTGTGATTTGATACTGTTTTCCTTGCAGCTGTGCATTTTTTTCCTTGCTGTCTTGCACATGGAATCACCACTTTCATCTTTGCAAAGTGTCTCTAAATAACTGTGAAGCTGCATTTCTTTCCTGGCTTTCTTCAGTACAAGATGGTGCCATTGTATTTTGGGTCTTTCAAGATCAGCTATCTTTTGCTTTGTTTGCAGTAAGACAAGTTTTTCCAGATTCTTTCTCTACCACCCAAAATATTTAGAACTGTTAAGGTAGTTTTCTGTTTGGTGTTTTTTTTTTTTTTTTGTTTTGTTTTTTTTTTTTTTGTAGCTGTTGTCTATTTACAGTGCCTTCAACACACCTATCCCAAAGTGTGGCTTAAACTGTTTTTCTTTCCCCCCTCTCCCCCTTTTGCTCAGTCTTTAGTAGCATAAAAGTTCTGTAGAAACAACAACAAAAAAAGTTTTTTGTCTCTGTGTGGACCAGAAAGGGCCTTGACAAGGACAGTGTGATCCTGGTGAATCAAAATGGATGTTTACGGCTTGTTTTGAAACAAAACCTCCAGCTTGTCTTAGAAACAAAATAGTTTTGTGTGTATGTTAAAAGCAAACAGTTTGGAGTCTGTGCCCTTCTTATGCAGATTTGTTATTTCACAGAGGAAGGAGAGTCTATTGCAGGAAATAGTCTTACCATTGCTATGCCTGTTCTGCTGGGTGAAACATGTCTGCACAGAGATAGCAAAGAGCGAGGTTAAAAAATCAGAAGCCGTTCTACCTCATCCTCTTCAGTCTCATCCTTAGTGTGTGGGAAAGCTAGAAACTGATGTGCTTAAACCTAGTGATCTTTAATAAACAAGACAGTCTGCTTCCACTTAAAAACTGCTCAGCTGTGAGGAGAGGACTTAAGAAATCCTGGAGTTTTACAGGAAGTTTCTCAGCTTCCCTGTCTGATTTTTGCAATAGAAACCTAAAGGCAGTGATGGAATAACTTGTGTTTTTTATCTTACTTTCCAGTTGGCCTGCTGCTGCGGTACTGCTGCTTGTGCCTTGTGCTGCAAATGCTGCCCCAAGATAAAACAGTCAACCAGCACCCGCTTCATGTATGCGCTTTACTTCATCCTGGTGACTATCATCTGTTGTGTCATGATGTCAACAACAGTAGCTAATGAAATGAAAACACACGTAAGTAAGAGAGGTGAACCCACTGCTGCCGCTGGAAGGAAACAGGGCTCCCTCCAAAGCTCTTCATGTATAGGTGCCTCAGAAGAGGCAGTCCATTCCCTCTACCCATCCACTTCCAAACCCAGATGGGATGATTTTCTATGCTCAGCCTCTTCCTGTCAATTGCTGGCCCATCGAGTCTGTTTCACAACAGGAAGAGTCAAGGATCACAGGACTAGCAGCCTTCCTCCTCTTTCATTGTGCGGAAACCGGCTGCGGAGAACTCATCCCAGGTTTTCTGGGCCGGTTGCGTCACTAGAGGCTGTTAGGGAATGTGTTATAGTAGAACAGATTGGCTCAGTCTAACGTTGAGTTCATCTCTGGCAACTTGTTAGCAGAAGCAGCAAATTAGAAAATAACTCTTCACATGTCGCATTTATGATTTTAACTCTGTGTTCTTGGTGCTGTGTGACAGACTACTGCAACATACAATGCTGCAGTTCCTTTACAAGGGGTTTTTTTCAGTGTGCACTGAGTCATCGTGTTCACATGGCCTCTAACCACATATTGTTCATCTCTCACTGTCTTTTTAATTAAAAAGCTTCAAAAGCAAGAAAAGAAGCTGTGTCTCAAACTAGATTTTAAAACTTAAGTTTCTTTCAGAGTCGTAGTATAATTTTCCTAAGATAAATGCTGACCAGCCTGCTTGCAGTCACACACTAGACCTGTTGTACCACATCTTTGGTTTGGTTTCTTAAGCCACCCGGGTTGCTCTCAGTAGCATAAATCCTCTCTCACCCTCTACAAACTATGAGAAGTCTGTTTTTAAGTAGAGGGAACAATGGCTGGATTGCATAATTCTTAAAAATTAAGTTTCTGCACCAAACTCAGCATTAGGCCTGCTTTGAGGTTGTGAATGTTCTTGCCCTGGAGGTTCAGAAAGCTTGCCTCCTGTGGGCATCTAGCTGTTTTGTGTTACCCAACCAAGCTGGTGGGTGCACAGTTAAGGCTGTTTCCTTGTTTAACCAGTTGCTGGTCAAGTTGGTGCCCTGCTTACTTTATGCACTTGACTTTCAGTTGTCTGTGAAACACTTCCTTCCACAGCAGCCCAGATCCAGAGGCAGATGGTAGCACCCTGTGCCTGCAACACAGATGAACCAGCGGGCTTATGATGGGTCTAGTTTGACAGTTTCTGTGCTCTGCTGCCAGTGACCTTTCTTTCTTCCAGTTGTAGCTTCTTTATATATTCTTCTGTCCTAATTTTCTTTCATTTAATATTGCTTTGCTTGAGTTATCCTAGCATTACCTGCTTACCCCCAGCCACCAGAAGGTGCTGACAGCCCTGTAAGAGCACCCCAATACAGATGATGCTCACTTGTGAGCTGCAACTTAAAAACTGTTCAACATGTGCGTGCTGAAATTGCTTGCCAGGAATTACTTTGACTTACTAGTTGCTTAGCTTGGCAATAAAGTGAATAACCCAGGGAACTCAAGTGTGTGGGAGACAAATTACATGCTCATATCCAAATTTCATAAAATCATTTTCCATCAGGAGTGTGGTTTTAATGCAGTTTGTATCCCTAACAAAAAATACTCACTTTTTATCCCACAGAAAAGTGATTCAAGAAACCTTCAACAACATGCTTTTCAGTATTGCCAAATTTATTTTCCAGTTCATAGTCTTGAAAGCTTAGTGTGGGAAGAAATGGCACAAAGAGAAGCTGTTAGTGTGAAGTGGAAAGATAATCACCCTCTTCATTTAGACCATTTGATGTCTTTGAATTGGAAATGGACCATCTGAAAGTAGGCTTTCTTTATCTGCTGTCTAGTTTAATAATTATATTCGGGGCTGTTAAAAGTTCACAGACTCCTGAAGCTAACTTAGCCTTGTTGTAATAGAGTGCACCTTGAAAATATTTATTCAGACTAAGCAGTCTCAGCTTCCTGATGATGAACTGTGTTTTGAAAGTGCTGGGTACTTACCGATTCCTTCATTTTTGGTTGGATTGTGGAGCACTTCTATCCCCTGAAGCCAGATGGTAAGCAAACACTTTGCGTAATGCTTCTAGGACCTCACCCTCTCTTTCTTGAGAGGAAACTTAATTTTAATTAGATTTTTAAAAAATTTTGTATTAAAATAAAAAATAAAGTTTAAAATTTTACTGCGGTCCTTGATGGAGCCATAATCCTGTCAGGGAACTGTGTGTGTGCTTTACCAGTTTAGAGTTCAAATACTCATGCTGATGTTACATGAAAAGAATCTCCCTTGTCGGTGAGAGGATTTTTTGGTTGATTGGCTGTGAATTCCCAAGTCTAAAGTCGTTCTAAAAGCATTTATTGTAGTGCTTGGTCCTTTGGCATTATATTGAGAGGAAATAACAGCAAATGTACATCTCTTATGGACATCTTAAGCAGAGGCTTTTAAAAAATGTTCATATTTGTTTTGCAGTATTTATCTAGCCCATGGTCATGCATTCTGTCTATTAAAACACATTTAGGACAGTTTTTCCGTTCCGGAGGTTCCAGAGTCTGCAGGTGCCAGCCCAGAGCTGGGGATCTGCTCTGTGCCCTGCAACATGTTTCAAAAAATGAGGCACTGTCCCTGGGAGCTCAACTTCCACATCTTCACCAAAGTTGGCAGATAGACAAAACTGTGTGGAGTGTTTGGTTATGGTTTCAAAACCTTGGTTCCTAATCTAACCAAAAGCAGTTTGAGAACATCGTATTTTGTGGTGAGCCTTAAGAATTGGAATAATGTCTTTCCGGGGGTCAGTTTTTTCTCTGTTGCTTTCATTCTTCCCCATCTCCTGAGCATTTTCTGTGCCCACAGGACACCAAGGGAGAGACGCCCTAAGGGTTAAATTCTGAAAAATGTGCAGAGAAACCAAGGCATTTGTGTTTGATCTCTGGGGAAGAATCAAGAAACAGTGGAGGGGTTTTGACCAGGAAAATATTTTGAATAGTAGCGTGTAGAATAGTTTTCAGAGAAGCAAGCTTGTGTGTCAAGGCAAAAGATGGAGTAGAGCATCAATCAAGACATGAGAGCCTCAGTGATGGGGCAGAAAGACAGGCAAGACCAATATGCAGTTACACAAAATGGTATAGAGATTTGACTCTGTTCCGGGATGAAGCAAAGCAGGACCCAACTTGAAGAAGTGCTTCTGTGCCTTGATCCATATATTATTTCTTTTTTCCAGTTATTTTGGTTTCTTGAAAAGCAGGTACAGCTGTACAGTACTTACAAATGTTCTGGTAGAGCAAAACCTTTCATTTCACAGGCTTTGAAAGGATAATTGAGAGAGGGAAAGGGAGAGAATTATTTTGGTCTGTCAAAATAGTGTTTTGGTTGTGTTTTTTTAAGTTAAATTTTTAATGTTAAAGCTGTTTCAAAACTGGTGGTTCTACCCTGAAAATATTCATGTCCTACTTAAATAATGAACAATAAGAAAGATGTTTTCAGGAGAGCAAACACCAGTAAGAACCAGTTCAGTTGTGTCAAAGCATTTCAGATCTAGATGGTTAAATATTCCGGCAGAGCATGCTTTCAGGATTCTTTCCCCAGACAGGCTTGTATCTTGGCCCTTAACTGCATTATAGTATGTTAAAATCCAAATTTGTTACCAAAAATGAGGGGTTTAAAGTGGAGATGCCTATTGCCTCTTTCTGGTAAGAATTTAGCCATAGATGCAAGATGGCATGTGTTATGATCTGATCATTTTTTGGTTTTCTCTTCCATTTCTCGGCTACTCAAGACAGGCAGTTTTACCTGGGGTTTTTTTGCCCTTGTCCCCCCACCTTCACAGATTTTCTTTCGTGCTTCCTCTTTCCATAACCAAGATCGTCTGCCACACTCTTCCTCTGTTGGATGGTGGCATCCAGATGAAAGCAGTCTCCTTTGGGCTCTTCTGGCCCCTTTCTACACGCTTCTTCCTTCCTGTTCCCCCATTGATGCTATTTCCCGTGCTCCTGCAGACGGAGGGTGCAGACAGACCCAAGCTCAGAGGGGGCCAAGCCCCAGCCAGATGGAGCCTGGACACGGTGTGGCCATGTTGTCTTGCTGCTTGCACTGCATTTATTTTGGGCACCAACAGCTCACAGTTAGAGGAAAGCAAGTTCAGGGCAGTCTGCCCTTGTTTCTGTAGATGTTGCTATTGTCTCAAAGGGTTTCTCGCTGCACTCGGGAAGATTGCCGACTTTGCTGTGATAACATCATTGCTTGTGCAGCAGCCGAGGCATTTACGTTATCTGAGCGGATACTGAGTTTCTGCAGCAAGAATGCTTTGTTCCCTACTCAGAGGCCAAAGAACTTTGCTTATGTTGCTTTTAAGGGTATAAAAGTAGATGTTTCGCTATATCAAACTTGGCAAATAACTAATCAATTACTTTAACAGCTGGCAAAACTACCCAGCAAAATGGAAATCCTGGTAAATCACATAGTCTGGGCAGGCTGCTCAGGAGCTGAATGTGTTTCAGAGATACTGATTTTTTTAAAAAAATAAAAAGAAACTCAGTGAAGAAGTCACATAAGCCTTGATAAATTGTTCCCAGCAGTAGACCATCCTCTCATGAAAACATACCCCTTTCATTACATCAGCCCTTTTGTCCCTAGCATTATGCTCATGTTTATTATCTGCCAGGGTCCCCAACAGTTTGGTTTTATTCTTGTTTTGTTCCTTCAGGATCATGGGTCTCCAAAAAGGGTGTTCAATCCCACAGGACTATTGCTGTGACCATCACTTATTACTGCATAGTGCTATGAATACTACATGATGGCTGAGTTCTTCTTTGCTTGTGTAGGCACAAACTGAGCTATTGTTTTTGTGAATCCATCCATTTTCTCTCAGCCAGATCTGTACAGAAATGACTACTGAACAGAGAAAGGAACATATAGGGTCAAAAATCCCATCAAGATCTCTGTAGAAAACTATGCAATTAAAGAAGATGCCCATTTGCAATTACCCAGAGATTGGTTTTTAATTAGCTAGTTTATTAATCAAGTGCCATGGTGGGTTTTTTTTTGTTGTTGTTCTGTAAGTCTCATAGGAAAAATGCTGCTTAGTACCAAGTACAAACCTTACAGAAATCTGTCTCATTGGTCAGTACTATCATCTATATCAAATAAGTATCTAATTTTCTCAGAAATATTGTTAGTTCAGTATTATGCATCTTTTTATTCTCTGCTGTCTGATGGTTATTATAAGCAAAGAACTGGAAAGCATTAATTGATAGCCCCGTTGCTTTCCCTGGCGTTGCTGTGGCCCTTTGGCTTGCCCTGGCATCACACTGGCATTGATAGGTCTCTTAATTATTACAGTCAATCCATTTGCTCATTTTGAATGCTGGCACATTTGCTCAGTCTGACATTTCATTACCTTTCAAGACTGGGAGAGGCATCGCTGACTCTCCCGGCGGTTTCCCCAGAGCTCTCTAAAAGCTATTGGATGTGAGTTAGCCACAGCTACTTGTTTACCATTCAGCTTCTTAGTCAGTGGCTACCCATCTCTGAGTTACTTTGGAAAAGAGCATCTCAGAGTGGCCTAGCTTGAATCCATTCTTTAACACCACACAGCTGCATCGAGACCTGGTTTTCATATTCTCCACTGGTTCTAGCCCACCTGGGATCAACTAAGTACTGTAGTTTGGTTTACTACCTTTAGCACAGCAACTCTGTGTTGCTGTGAGCTGCTAAAATATTTCCTCTTCTTGGGAAACTGCTGGGAGGGTTGTTGAGCTTCTGACTGGTTTGGATTGCTGGCACGGGATGGGAAGTTACATACCCTGGTAAGGGAAGCAGGCTTTCAGAGCCTGGTGGCTGGAAGCTGGCTGTTTGTGTGTTTATCTCTTGTTTCCTGTATCTCTGATGGCTTTCTACCCAGCTGGCAACACTGCCCGATCGCTTGTCCTCGGGTCCTGTTTGTTTTTCCCCTGTCCTGGTTTTGTGTACTGACCTGCCTACTGAAGGAAGGAGACAATCCTAACTTTGCTAATTTCTTGGAAATGTTCAAGGATGATGTTGCCCACAATCTTTGTATGTTTTATTTCTAAGCAATTTCTGGCCTGGCTGAATGCTTTCTGAAGTCTGATTCCTGTTTCCTTTGCCCAAGTTAGTTATTTGTGCATGTTATGTCCTGGCACACATTATCTTCCCTCTCCTTCAGTTACCTGTGCAGGTAGCAGCGATCAGCTCCACAGAGTTTGATGTGTTGCTCGACTGGTCTCACCAGCCTCAGCTGAGAGCTGTGAACATACAGAGAGGCCCTTCTTTCTTTGAAATAAACGGTGGTTTTCTAATTAAATGCCTGTATTTCTGCACAGCTGAATGGCTCCCTGGCTGCAAGGAGGGGTGTCAGCACCCCACAGGAGTGGGTCCTGGCCACACAGACCTGCCTTTTTCAGCGCCCAGCATCATGCCAGCCTGGTGAAACTGAAGCTAAAATGTGCAGCTGTTTGCTTTCCCCTCACAGTGAGAGCAAGGCCTCAAAGGCAAATATTTAATGAGTGAAGGGGAAGGTGGAATTTTCCTGCCTCTCTGTTAATTTAAAATAAGATCAGGGCAACTGGTACAACTCCCTTTCAGAGGCTGTGGTGGAGAGCAGGGGGCTTGCTGCCCCTTGGGTGTGCTTTGGTCTGTGTTTCCACTCAGGGCAGCACGAGCCAGAGCCTGCTGCTCTGCAGCCCCATCCATGCCCCTTTGACTGGCAAAACTGCTGGTATGGCTTATGCAAGCCGGATTACTGAAGCAATCAAAGTCTTTTGCAGTAAAGCATGTAAAGAAGGGGGAGGGCCCCCAGGGTGAGGGGATAAGCAGTAAGGGGCAGGAATGGCTTATCCCAACAGAGCTGAAGGAAAGGTAGGTGGATTTGTACCCCAAAGTGTCTGGAAGGGGTTGAGAGTGGAGGCTCTGGAAAACTCCAGTCCTGTGTGTTTTGCATTTCTTTATGTCCCTTGAACTCTTAAATCCAGGCTGAGGGGTATCAAGAATGAAAGGTGTTAAAGGAAGCCTGAGAAAAGTCAGTATTGCGTAGACATAGACATGCTTGCTTATGAGGCGCGCCTGCTGTCCTCTCTAACGGCTTGTAACATGTTGTGGTTTTCAGATTCCCTTCTACGAGCAGATGTGCAAGGGTATTCAGGCGGGTGAGATGTGCGAGAAGTTGGTGGGTTACTCTGCAGTGTACAAAGTCTGTTTTGGAATGGCCTGTTTCTTCTTTCTGTTCTTCTTGTTCACCATCAAAATTAACAGCAGCAAAAGTTGCCGAGCATACATTCATAATGGGTGAGTATTTGCTTAATTTCCACTTCTCTTTACAGGTTTGTGCTGCCTACTTTCCAGTTGGGTGTAGTACTAAGCAAAAATAAAACCAAACCAAAACAAAGGTTTATTTTACTGCTTTTGTCAGAAACAATGCAGTCAAGCGAAAGCTAACTAAAGTGGCAATCAGTCAAGGGCTGGTTTTCCTCTTGTTGGGTTTTAAGTAGAGCTTTCTCATGGTACTTGATTTGAAGACTTCTAATTCCTATTGCAACCAGATGATTTTTTTTTTTCTCTGCCTCTTGTCCAGATTCTGGCTTGTTAAACTTATACTTCTGGCAGCAATGTGCTCAGGAGCCTTCTTCATTCCTGATCAGGACACTTTCCTTAATGGTATGTCCTTCTTGTTTTGTTACACTGCTTTGTTCTGTACTACCTTGTGAATGCTTGTGAATCCTAAAGATCTGATGAGTGTGAATATTGCCATATTTCTTCAAGTAAAGCCAGTATAGGCCAGGTGCAAAAGGAGTATTTGGAGCTGTTTGGTGGGAACTCTGTGTGCACAGAGTATGTGGTCTTCATGTGAATGTGCAGTAAAGAGCATGTTTTTTTCTGACCAAGAGCAAGTCAAATGGTAGGTAAAAATACTGCTGCAGTGCTGTCTTGCAAATTCTTTCAGAAGCAGGGAGCTGTAATGGCACACAACAAATTGTTCACTCAAGAACAGAGCACCATATGTTAGTTTGACTTGTGCAAGTAGCTCTGCCGTAGCACAGCAGCCAGGATCTGTGCTGCATGGTGGGGAGTTACCAGTGCTCAAGGGGACATGGTGACCTGCAGCTGCTGGTGTTTGCTGCCTGGAAACCTGCAATGCCACAAAAGAATTTAGGATGCTGTTAGCTTTCAGGCTGGGGGTGTAAATACATTAAGGTAAAATTAGACTTCTTGGGGTGTGTTGCAAGTGCTCTGCTGAGGATACCATGCCTAAAGCATTTTCAGTTTTGGAAGACACCCTAACACTGCAGAGACGTGCTGGTGCTTGCCCAGTGCTTAAATGCTACCCCTGGGAGGGGGGCTTCTCACAGGGCTTTTGTGGATTAGGAGCAAAAATTCCAATAACTGAGATGAGTTTGTGCTCTTGAGTTTGCCAGGTACTTGTAAACCCTTAAGCTGTTGAGTCTGGGCAGGTGGAAAAGGGTGGGATCAGTAATGGGAAGGAGCAGTTTTGTGTGCTGCCTGCTTCCACTAAGACTTGCTTGGTTACCTGTGTTTCAACACTGATCTCCTCTAGCCAGGTGTTTCAAAGGGGAAGAGGAGGGAGTAACATGGAGGAAGAGTGGGCAGACATACTATGAGCGCAGTGTACAAGCTGTTTTAAGAAGGAAAACACAGGGGTAGGATATGGCTGAAATTTGCTAATGCCCTTCCTTGGTCTGCTTCACTGAAATCAGCTGCACACCTGGAGTCATTTCTAGGCTGTGCACTGCACAGCAGCACAAGCTGCATATGCATCTAAACATTCAAATGGATATCTGTGTTTCCTCAGAGACTTCTGATGTTGCACATAAGAGATCTGTTCTCTGTATCCCAGCAGCTACCCAAATACAGTGTATGTAGGTCAGTGGTTAAAGTAGTCAAATAACCTGTCTTCAAACTAGTCAGTGAATACTAAGTGTTTCCATCTATTTGGGAGTGGCTCGGGACAGCATTTGTAAACAGATAAGCTCCACCTTTGTTTTTCTGTGGTACTGGAAGCTGGAAGTGAAGAAATTGCCCTTTTTAGTACTGGATTCCAGTACCTTGCAATTTCAGGGATGAGATTCCTGTGAAATGCCTTCACACCACCTCCTTCCCACCAGTCACAAATAAAGGTTTCAGTATTTTCTATCTGAATATAGTAACTCATCGTCTCCACAAAAATTCTCTAGGTTAGGGAAACTCAGTAAATGTCCTAACAGTCTTATTTTGAAAGTGTAGCAGGTTGCAAGCTGAATTAATCAGGGAGTTAATCTTAAATTAGGTGACCTGGCCTTTCAGCTGAAATCTCTCATCTCCTGCTACATCTGTGGGTTTTGAGATATGCAAACCGTGAAGCAGCTTCACAGCATAGACAATAATTCCATTTTATCTCAAGGGAAAGACAGCTGCAGTTTGACCTATTTTCTGCCTCTCTGCCTTGCAGCCTGGCGCTATGTAGGAGCAACAGGAGGTTTCCTTTTCATTGCCATTCAGCTCATCCTGCTTGTTGAGTTCGCACACAAATGGAATAAAAATTGGTATGTGTTGGGCAAGTAGTTATTTGCATAAAATTCTGTTGAACTCCTGAACAATACAGTTCTCATAACAAAGAATTTAAAAGTAGTATGGATGTAACTTCTGAAAGAAGACACTTTAATGTCAATATGTATAGCTGCTCATCTTTGCTTCATCTACTTTCTCCTTCCTCAGTGGAGATGTTTCTTCCTTATTCACTTATACTCTTAACCTGAATTGCTTGGCTTCCAGTAAGTAGTATAGTGTTGGGATTCAACAACCTCTTACTCCAAGTTGGTTTATATTTTTTATGAAAATATACCTGCTAAGAAATAGAGTAGTGCAAGAGAATAAAGTTGGATTTGCAAAATGGAACAGTGAAACTGTGTGCAGTGATGTAAACTGGTAAATCCTGCTTTTTTGTGTCAGCTTAATGCACATGATTTTTTTTTTTTTTGTCAACATGAGAACTGCTACTTTCTCTTCAATTTCTCTGCTTTCATCTAAATATTCAGGATTCCATTCTCAACCCACATACACCCTGTTTTGGCATTGACTTAATTTCTGGTTTAAGCATATTTGCTATTACCTTCCTAACCCTTAGCCTCTCATTAGTTTAAAATATTTAAATTATCCTCCCACATATACACAGAAACTCCTGCTTCTATCTTCACCCTTTCTGTCTCCCATTTCTTCCTCTGCAAACCTTTGCAGTGCTTACTTGGTCTAGTTAGTGTACTGACTACTAAGAAATAGTTTTAGCCAACCTTTGGGCTTTGTTACATACGTGTTTTCAGGGAGGAAGTGGTGAGATCTCCTTATACCACAGCTATTTTTACTGTTAATTACTGTCGCTGCTTTTGTGTGGATGAAAGATTTCCAGCAGCAGTATTTAACTTTAGCCCTCTTTGCATTAGATACTCTTTTAAAATAAGTCATGTTTCCACAAAACAACCAAAAAACCCCCATACCCCAAAAAATCCTTCCATGCACCAAAAAGCTGTTTGTGCCAAAACAGCTTTTTTAGTTGCTACTCCTAAAAAAAAAACCCAGTGGTCTTTGCAAGAGGTGTTTGGAAGGTAAAGAGAGGAAAACAAGATGGACCATGTTTTAGCTGGGGGTGGCTGGTGGGATAGACCCAAATGGAGAGGAGGCTTTTTGAGCAAAAGGGTAGTAAAACTGTTGAGGTAGTGGAAGGAGCAGAAGAGTGACCATGTCAAGCAATATGCCTTTGATGTAGTTGTGTGAAGAGTAGCACTTGCTAGCTGAGCCTGGGGCACTCTGAGGTCCCACTGAGGAAATCTCTAAGTATTGAGCAGAGATGTGCTGGCGGGCTGATCCCTGAGATTGGGAGTTCTAGGAGTTAGGCTGGGCTGTAATTACAGAAACAGCTGGCCATGGTAATACAGAAGATAAATACTAATGCTAAGGAATGTTTCCCTCTGTTTCATGGGAGGAACTTTGCAAGGGCCTGTGTTGGTGTGGTGATGCACACATGCTTCAGGAAAGTAAGCACTATCTTTTATGTTTGAAGGTATGAACTATTCAGCTATTAGAATTTTATTTGGGAAGGGAAGACAAAGATAAGGTGCTTCTCTCTCTCTCTCTCCCAAGGACTGCAGGTGCAAACCACAAGCAGATGTGGAATGGTTTGCTTGCCCTGGTCACGCTCATCTTGTACTCCATTGCTGTGGCAGCCCTGGTCCTCATGGCTCTTTTCTACACACGCTCAGAGGGCTGCATGTACAACAAGGTCCTGATCGGTGTTAATGGTGGCCTGTGCCTCTTTGTCTCGCTGGTGGCCATATCGCCCTGTGTCCAGAGTCGTGAGTTTGCTGACTTCTTCCTGAGTTTCTCTTGCTGCCACGGTTGTGTGCCTGGAGGCATGAGCCATGATCTGGGCAGAAAGTCTCATCATAGTTCAGAGCTGGTGTTGCTCTTGCCCCTGTCCCTTTATCTACACTATAAAGTACTGTTGCTGGTCATCAGATCAGCTGCTAAAACTACAGAGATGTGAGACATTTTGGGTGTGCCATCAGGCAGTCATACTGTAAAGAAGGCTCACGTGCCGATGGCTAGTAATGTGTTGTGGAACTTACAGAACTCTTGCAGTGGTAGCCATTGAAGTAGTAGCTGTCAAACTCACTCACTGTTCTTCTACCATTTACTTTTGACTGCTTGTGATTTAGCATCTGTGGAGTTTGGGCCTGGAGATGTTTACAGCAGTATTTCATGCTTTGGTATATTTTATGTGTGCTGTTAGTATCTTGCATACATGGTAATTTGTGTGACTCCAACACAGATTTTGCAGGCAAATAAAACTACCATGGCAGCTTTTCAGTAGCTGTTGGAAAGCTAGTGCTTCTGTTGAGAGCAGAGGGGTGATTCTTTATGTACATGGGAATTTTTAATGTCTCTCTACAGCAGCTAGCAGTACTAAAGCCCAGACTCTTCTGTTTACAAGCCCATGGAAATGTATCTGAACTACCTCAGACTTAGGAACCGCTTTAAGTAAAGCATAAAAGATACTCTTGTCTCCTGAAAGATAGTATTGTGCTGTTCTTTAAAGGATACACATTTATTTTTCAGTTTGTTTGAATGTCTGCAAAAATCACTTATTTTCCTCTTTCTTGTAAAGGCCAACCCCATTCTGGACTGCTGCAGTCAGGAGTTATCAGCTGCTATGTCATGTACCTCACTTTCTCAGCACTATCCAGCAAGCCACCAGAAACTAGTAAGTTATCTAATGCTTTATGTAAATTCTTTTAGACATGCCATATACTAAAAGCAAGAGTTTAGCAAACCTGAATTAACAAATTCAGGGATACAGGAGTGCTGGGTTTGGTCTGTTCTGACCTGTGCGGGAGAAATTGCACATACTAGAAGTAAATCTGCACAGCAGAGAGACTGTGCAGTTGGTACTCTCCATGTACCTTAAATGCTTTGGTCTAGGGGAGCTTAACTTACCTTGGGTGATTTGCATCTGTTGTACCAGAGCAATTCCAGCCTATTTCTTATGGACAAATTTCCCAGAGTCTTACAGCCTACTCTGCATGTTGCAAGTACATGTTCTCATATGATAGGACATGACTGAGTACATAATGTGTTTGTTCACATGATGGCAAGGGAGTTGGAACAAATGGTTCTTGGATGCCTCTGGAAGAAGCTGGGTGATCAGCTCCATCCAGAAGCTTACTAGGTCCACCACCAGTTAGTCGGTGCTGGCCATCAGAGCAGATACTAAAATAATTTATTTTCTCCTAGAATTGGTATGCTAGATAGCTTTATCTCTGGACTCGGAGCAAAATCTTGAGTACTGCTTGTCTTTTGTTTTGAGAGGAAACATTCTGAGAACGGACTTAGAATTATGTTGCAGTTGTTTGAGATGATGCTGTTCTTCAGCAGAATTCCTGTATTCCACTTGCCTTCTAACTGTTGGCATTGCAAGCTAGAAGTAGAGAACTCCATGGAGTTCTAAGTTCTCTATGCTACAAAAAGCCAGCAAGACTTAGAAGCACAACTCAAAACTGTTTTCTTTTCCCAGGTAACTATCAGATTCCCCTTTTTGGATAGGGAGCATTCTTTTCACTTAGGACTTTTCTGGTTCAAATTAGTAATGCTAAAACCCCCTTCTTTGTTATAGCTCAACTTTTATTGCTGAATAGTTGAAACAATAACTAGAGGACAATAAGTCCATTGGCAGGAAGGGTAAGTTTTTATAGACACCTCCCAAGAAGAAAGGGGAGAGATGGGGCAAAGACTCTGTCCCACTTGGGTAGTCACAGGCACACACACAAATGTGCTCTAGAGCTAAGAAGGAAAAGCAGACAGTACTTAGGAGGAAGAGTTACTTATTGAGCTTAACTAGAGTTTTTGAATGAATATAGAAGTTAATTCAGAAGGCATTTAAATTATTCATAAGACTTGACACAGTGTAGCCTTGTGTTATCTCATGATTGTGACAGTCAGAACCTTCAGCAGTTAAGTGAATGTTCTGATTCTTCTTTTATGTATTGCAAGTTTGGTTATTGCATTTGTCAGAGTATGCATCAAGCACACTCTCTGGGAGCTCCTGAATCAGATGTTCTTCCTTGTCTTCCCAGACCAGAGAACAAAGGCTCATGGTTGTCATCTGCTCTCAGAGATGCTTGTTTGTCCTTTCTCTGACAAGAACTGTCATACTGGCTTGTGCAGCTTTTACAGTGGCATGTGCTGGAGAATGTATAGGGTGCTGGCACTTACTAAGGTGTCCCATGCTCTTGTCACTCAGATTTACCATGAACTTACCTTATGTTGACTCATTCCTCAAGGAGGGACTTCCAAATTGGCCATTATGCAAATCAGACACTTTGTAAACCAGGCCTGAAGAAAATGCAAACTACAAGTATTTATTTACAACAGCCAAAAAGCAGAGTTGCAGATGTCTCTAGAAGGAATGGTCAAACAAAATGTAATGTCTGGTGGACCTGTGCTTTTATCACAGTGTGCCTTAGATTTTTAGTGCCAGACCTAGCTAAAAGCCTGCCAAACAGTGTGTTGCCTTGCTGCAGAGGCATCCCTGGTGGATGCAGGTGAGGGACTCTGCACACCTCTGGCCAAGGTGTTCCATAAAACCTTGTCATCCCTTCTTTTGCCCCCACCTCTGTGCTGTCCCTGCTGTGTGCTAATAGAACTGTTGTGTGCAGACTTGCAGGGTCATGCAAAGTCCTCCCCAACCAGGTCAGGCAACTGACTTGGTGTTTATTTTTAACCTGGGTGTAGCCTTTGCTTCATTTTGCCCTCTGCCCTTACAAACAGTTGTTCTGACCCAGGGGGGATGCAGTGTGGCTGCTGGTAGGAAAGAGGAGATGGGAACACCATTTGCCTTAAACAACATTGGCTCAAAAAGCTCTTGATTTGAGATAAGGTGCAGCTGTAATCCCTTGCTTTGGAGTGATGCTGCAGGCTACTACTCTGTCAGGCCTTGACTACAGGCTAACACCAAAAAGCCAGATGCATCTTGGAACTTCAGGGACTGAAGGGGCCTAGAAGTAGTATTTGCTTAGATGTTAAGATAAAATCTTGCCTGTAACTGGTGCATCTCCTTTTCTTTGGTCTTCTGTATATCATCTGAGAACAGGGCAACTACACACCACTGTTTTTCACTGAGTGTGAATTTCATAGTTTTCCTCAAGACACACCCCTGCTTGTCAAAGAAATTTATGGTGTCAGGTCTGTACTATCTCGGTCTTATATAGCTCTGTAGTCTTGGGTGAAGTGTTGGTAAATTTCCAATTTACTGTTTCTTAGCTCACCAGTATTTTTCCTTATTTGTCTGCTCTGATCAAAGAGGACACTTGTCTACTCTAGTAAATTGTATTTTTATTTTGCCTAAAACACAAAATCTGCCAGGTCAGATTTACAGAATTTTTTCTGTATGATCTTTTTAAAAGATAGATGGAAACAACTGAAATGTATGTACCCAGTGTCTGAAATAATAAAAATTTTTCATTGAAAACCTTCAGTCTGAAGACTACTTTGAAATGCATTGAAATGAGCTTTGCTAACTGTTCTTTGTTTTGTTTTGTGAAGTCCTGGATGAAAACAATCAGAACATCACAATCTGTGTACCTGAATTTAGTCAAGGCCTGCACAGAGATGAAAACCTGGTTACGGGCCTGGGTACTACCATTTTGTTTGGCTGCATTTTATATTCTTGGTAAGTATGAGGGTTTGGAGTTACCTTACTGTAAACACGGTGTCATGGTCCAACTAGTGCAGACCTATAGCAGACCTCATGCAGACAAAGTAACAGGGAGGAGTAGAATAGAACTGAACAGGAAGGTTCATAGTCTCAAAAATGTTCAACAAGATAATAAAACTTATGAAACAAATACATTTCGTTAAAACTCAATGTAGCAATTTACATCCAGAGGCGGAGGGAAAAAATTTCAAGCTGTCCATGATTCCAAACTGTCTTAGGGTGCTTTGATTTAGTATTTACTCTTTCTATAAGAAAATTTGTGTGTAGTTATGCCCATTTAAAAAAAGCTATCTGTAGCTCCTGGAAGAGGCTGCGACTGTTCCTCGAGGGTCTTTAAAACAAACAAAACTGTTTGGGAGGGTTTAGGGCTTCCTTTGAACAAGTGATGAGCACAGCAGTGTCATCAGGATTTGTCAGCAATCTCCTGCTCTAAAAAAATCTCTTTGTGCCCATATAGTTGTGATGCTCACTTTGTATTAGTGCAGCTCACATCAATATCTTAAGTGATGGTCTGGGATGGGGAATGGGGGAGTTACTGGTGATTGAAAGGTGAAGTATCACTTGTTTTGGCTGTGCAAGTTGCCCAGAGACAGCACTGCCTGTCTGCTGCAGGTTTTTGAGCAGATTCTGCTTCTGAATCAGTCCACTTCAAAATTCACATACTGAAACTCCTTCATAATTTTGAAGTGAAAACAAGAGACTGTCTGAAGAGGTAGCACAGCTACTCTTCTGCTATCAAATATGCATATGTTTTCCATTTAATTCTGATACCAAATATATGGATGTCATGTATCATGGATCTAGTTCACATTGGAACAGTATTTACAGTGCCTTAGGAAGGTGTTTCAGGAATGCACACAACCTTCATGTAGCCTGCAGGGGAAGTGCACTGTGTAGCTGGGGAGATAAGAAGGCCTTAAAGGGGAATGTTTTGAAGAATCGCTTATGCCTACTAAGGCTTAGTGTGTACAGCAGAGCATCAACTCCTGTCTCCCTGTGGGTAACGGGAAGTTTGCATTACACATCCTGGAAGACTGGGCAAGAAATGTTTCTAACCAGAAGAAACTAGAAAGCATGCCCCCCAGACAAGTACAATCATGCAAGAAAGTGATTTCCAGCAACTGATACACTGACAATAGTGGTTGACAGTTTACTTTTGAAAACTGATTACTGCCAGTGACTTTGCTGGCAAAGCCCTTGCAGAAATGCTGAGCCAAAGTGATGGCTGTGAAGTTAGTATAAAAGCATTGGTTGTGCACAGCAGGGGAGATGTCTTCTGATTTGAAAATTGGAGTGCTTAGCAGTTTGCTGTTGTCTAATGGTGATGAATTCACCACCTTTCGGGAGTGACCTACTTTGAAGCTCATGATTCAGCCTCAGCTGGCCAGTGGTTGTCAGGCTGGTTTATACTTGTACCAAGCAAACTTCTCACATGCTCAGTGCTTGATGCTATATCCAGGCAAATGCTTATCTTAGACGTGAAACTATTTATGTTTGCTGTGGTGTTGAAAAATCACTCTGTTGGGTTCATACTTATGCATATGGTTTTGACACTATCTTCTTTTGCTCCTAGCTTGACCTCAACAACACGTGCAAGCTCAGAGGCACTGAGGGGAATATATGCAGCACCTGAAACTGAAGTGAGTTTTTGCTTCCTCCCACAGAATTTCAGTGCAGACTTCCTCATGTGCTTTTCTTGCTGTTGTTTTCATGGCTAAGTAGTCAGTAAATAGGTGAAAACAAAAGCTTGATCTTAGCATGGATGCTATGTGGTTCTGGGTATGGACTCATCAGAACACTTGTCCGCATTGGTCCTTCTGCAGCTCTTGCTGGTCCCATGGAGTTGCCTTTATGTACTGAAAAACACCCTGCAGACTTCCTGTAAATCTTGTGCTCCCCACAAGCTCATATCCTCTAATTTAAAGGAAAAGTCTGCTGGGAAGCTATCAGAAAAAGTGGAGGAGTTCAGTCCTGGTTGCCTTTGTTCTCATAGCAACTGACTGTAATCCCAAGTTGCTATCGTATTTTTATTTTCACACACAAGTACTTCCTTTCTTTTTGCCGATAATTTAATCTTGGATTGTATTTCTTGCCCCTGTTTTAGCAGCACAGGTTTCTTCATTTCACCTGCCTGTTTCTTTGGCCGCCTTATCCTGCAAGCACCCAGAAACACTGGGAAATGGGTGGGTTTTTTTGCCAAGTAACAGTTACCCCTTGTTCAGGCTTGCTCGTGTCACTCTTCAAATGTATGTGTCTGTTTGGAGAATGAACCTCCATCTCTAGCTGCCTCTACACTGGTGTTACTTGCATCTGCAGCTTTAACTTCTATTTCCAAGTCTTTAATTGGGGTGTTTGTGAGAATCCAAAAATGCAGAAGTACCGGCTGAGGCACTTGTTTGCAGTAGCTGGGCGTGGGGGAAGCAGAACGCGTTTCCGTGTGGGAGCGTGTGGGTGCCAGAGGAGCTTCCCTCTGGCAGGACAGTGCGACTGGCCGGGGCGCCGGTGCCAGCACTGAGGGGCTGAGCGCCCGGAGGCCCCTGGCCGGCAGGCAGCCTGGCGGCAGGCTCAGCACCTGGCACCCACACCTGGCCCAGGCAGGACTCGCGCCTTCCCGCCCTGTGCTGGGGCAGGGCGGGGGGGACCGGAGGTAAAACAGCCACCCTTCACGCCCACCCGCCTTCCTCCGCCAGCCTTAGGCCGTGGGCCTGGCTCCTCTGCCGTAGTGCTTGCTGACAGGATTGTTTCTGGACAGTTTGGTTTCAAAGAGCGGTACAGGAGCCGCTGAACATAAATGAGAAGGGACTGGTGAAGAGCAGCTAATTGCAGTCTGATTGCCTTCCCTGTAGCAAAGGGCCTTTGTCTCCGCTCCAGGAGCACGAACATAGCTCTGCAGTTGCCTGGGTGTACAGAGGGTCTGTTGGCATCTGTGCTGAATACAGCTGACCCTTACAAGCGACTAGTATTGTGTGTGCCAGCGTTGCTAATTTCATCGCTCTGTGTGTGCAAAGACGTAATTGCAACTGATTGAAGAGTTTGAGGGAACCCAGCACTTGGGAGTGCAGCCAAAGGGGAGGTCAGGCTGGCCTGTAGGTAAGGCTTGGCACCTCAGTAGAAAGAGATATGAATGGAGGGTTTGATTTAAACTCTCAGCTAGTCTCTTTAAAAAGAATGTGCTTTTGGGGTTTTCATGAGTTTATGAACCCAGTGAGTACATGTAATCATGGATACGCAGGATAAAAACTGCCATTTGATGTTTCTGTTGGACACTTTATCTCGAGGCTTACTACCTGATTTTTTGGGATGTTAGGAAGATTTGCAACTGGCCCATGCCGACCGAGGGGAGAGGCTAGAATGCAAAGTGTGGAATTACAAGGGTAAATACTTATTCATGCACATGACATGTCCCAGCCAAATTGGGGTACCCCGACAGGGGTTTTACACAGGGTCCTTACACCCTTCAGGCATTCAGGTGTAGCATGATTTGACTAATCACAATAATAGCTGCAAACTAAGATTATTGGAAAATATATATTTGTGGAATAGAATTATTAAGATAAATTTAAGATGTTTTAGCCATTTAACAATTGTGCTGCAGAACAAATACTAATCTTTTGAGGAATAGTTGGAATAACTGTAGGATAAGGCACTCATAAATCTCATAAATAATCTTACTGGAGACGGTTTGGCCTTGTAGAGGCAGGTGCAAAGAAGCACAAAGAAGCTGCAAATTAGCAACAAAACCAGACCAGGCCAGCCTTGAAGGACAAGATGTACATGACCACAGGACTGAGTTTGCGCAAAAGTAAGGGTCAACTGGTGAACACAGTGAAGACGACTACGAGCCTTCATCTGAAGACCCCCGACAACCACCCGAAGACTCCAACTGACATGTGCAAGAGACATTAACATATGCTAAATGAGTTCCCAGAGAAGTTATGAATATGATAGAAATGCAATTAATATGTATGATTAAGGTAGTATAAACGCTTGTTGATTTCATTTTAACATACACACATGAGGAGGAGCTATCCCTTGTGTGTCTGGCACTGTAATAAAGAATGCCTGCTTTCTAAAACTCAAAAATTGAGTCTTAGAGTGTGAATTAATTACCACTTGCCAGTAACAACTAAGACCTACACCACCAATTACTAGTCATGGTAAAACTTTGCCAAGCAAGTGTACTTCTGCAGCATGCTTGCCACTTGTCTATTGATCCAGACATCCTGGGAGTCAGTCTTGCAATAGTTAATAAACTGTGATGCTGAAACGGTTTCAGAGATGTGTTAGAGAGGCTAGGATGCTGGCATTGGTTATCCAGGGGTATCTTTTATTCTTCATGGACAGCTCTAAGCTTCCAAGAAGCAAAGCCCTTATTTCCAGGGCCAGGGTCTCCAGTAAAACTCCGCTACCTCATTACATTTCAGCGTATACTGTGAACTAACACATGTTAACAAAGTTAGTACTGTAAAGCCAGATTGATATAATAGTTAGGGAATTTTCTGAACAGGGTTTATTGTCTTCATCAGACCACAACCAAAATAAACCCTAGAGTAGGATTTTATCAGAACAAGTAATGTTGGTGATGAGCTACAGAAAGTGCTGACTTGTACTATGGTCAGGTGCAGAAAATGTACTTACTTATTGGATGGTCAGCACCCTTTTCCCGTTTAAATTACCATTCAACAGAAGAAGTGTCAATTTCAGCTTTCCTTTTTCCATCAGTTAAAAAATACCTTCATTTAAATAAAGCAGAAGAAAACATCTTTCTGCTTTTACTCATTCTGCATGTACTCCTTTCGGCTCAATTCCAGCAGGATCTTGCAAAGCTAGTTCCTGACTTACGCTTGTGCAGCTGTGATTTCCAACCCATTCAGCAGGGTTCTGAGAGTTCCTTATACTTTCATTTTAGTAGACATTTTTTTTTTAATTTAAAAAACACTTGGATGCAAGTCTGAACAGGTAAGTCCCCTCTGAACTACTAAAGTGCAACCACTTTACTGTAGCTTTCCCCCATTTTGTCATAATTATTTGCACCAGTGTTTGACTTTATGTAAAATGGATAGAGTAATTCTTAAAGAATGGTTAATTTGCTCCAAATCTTGCTGAGTAGTTTTTTCCAAAGCTTAAAAACTGCTGTTGTGAACTACTTGGCAAATCCTAATTTGAGTTTTGTGGTGGTTGGAAATGCAAACCAGACTTTTCTAAATTAGTGTCTGTAATGTAGACATAACAGACCTTCCTTCCCAAGCTGTTCTGCTTCTTTGCTGTAAGCACAGACTCTTACCCTTCCTGTTGTCTGTTCCACAGGTAGCTCGTTGCTGCTTTTGCTGCGTGCCTGACGGAGATGGTAATTACATGTTCACTTCACAATTTACCGCACTTGTGGCTTTCAGACCAAAGCCAAGAGAGAAAGGACACAGCTGCAGATGGAGAGCTGCTTGTATCCTCATTCTGTAGCATATCAAACTAAAGCAGCTGAAGCACATAAAGTGAGGCTGGGGAAGGAAGCAAGAGATGGAATGATACCATTTTAAAACAGTAGGCTAGTTAATAATTCCTTAAAGGATATTTCATTACTGCAATGTACAAAGAGTAATCTCTGCTCTTTGCATGCTTGTGGGTGTCTCTGACTGCTGGATTTTTGGCTCGGGACCTCTGGAGGACTGCAGTTGAGCGAGTTGGTAAGGGAGTGTTTGCAGACCTGCTACAACCAGGGTTATCAGCTTGGACTTGCCACAAGAGTATCCTGCACGTAGTGCAATTTAAATGGCCTTAATGCCCAAAACTTAGCCAGTAGGCCAGGAAGCTGATACAAACCAGGATTTAGATAACAGCCCAGTCTTTTACTAAAGGCTTAGGCCGGTGCCCTGAGGATGGGGAAGTGTTCAAGTGATGCTCTGTATCACACTCTCCTAAATCACACCATAGATGTTTTGCTGTGTTCTTCCTGAAGCTGGCTGCTGCTTTCAGTTCTCATTAAATTTGCAAAGGCTTGCTGTTTCCTTTCTTTTACAGCTGATGCTGAAGAGCGCATTGAAAAAAGGGGGGGCCAGACTGTGATTTACGATGAGAAGAAAGGCACGGTGTACAGTTATGCCTACTTCCACTTCGTTTTCTTCTTGGCTTCGCTCTACGTGATGATGACAGTAACTCACTGGTTCCAGTAAGTGTATTTCTTTAAATCTGAGAAATTAATGTGTCTCTGCATTAGGAGGGGAGATGTGAATGGGAAATTCGGCCATTAGTGAGTCTCCTCTCCTTAAGTAAGAAGCTGGAAGGGATGGTTAAAGTCTTTCCCGGGCGATTCATGAGCAAGATCTTGCTCTGTAAAGGGCTGCTCTCCCCTGCTTCGTGGCTGGGTTAACCTAGTTGAAGTCTGTGACACACTGGGAAAAACAGAGGTTGCTGCAGCCTGAGATATGAACAGTGAGTTTATTGCTGCCTTTTTTTTTTTTTTTTCCCTTAACAGTTATGAAAGTGCTCAGATTGAAAAATTCTTCACTGGAACCTGGTCCATCTTCTGGATTAAGATGGTCTCTTGTTGGGTTTGTGTCTGTCTGTACTTATGGACTCTTATTGCTCCACTCTGTTGTCCAACCAGAGAGTTCTCAGTGTGAACACTCAGAACGTGTTCACCTGAAGAAAAGAAGAAAGTGTTCACTCAGAAGAAAAACTTCTGTGTTTTTCTCTTTTAATTTTTTTTTTCCTGTTACAAATAAAATACAACAGTCATTTTGTAATAATGAAACACATATTTCCACTTATCATAATGTACCAGTTAGTAACTTTTGAATCAGACTAAACAAATGATTGAAGACTTTTTTTACCTTTTTTAATTGTCATGAACAAGCATTGCCCAAGGGAACAAATCTGTTCCAAAACTTTGTAACACTGATGTGCGGAGTGTAGGAAGCACAGTCATTACATAAACTGGAATAAGTGAAATGCTTTTCAAATAACTGACAGTCTTTTTCTGGCTTCATTGGCGAGAAAAGAAAAAATCATGGTGGAGATATATCCTCCTCCCTTCCTGTGAATGTTGGATATCTTTTAGCAAATATGCATTCCTTTTTATACTATTCCATTAACTGTGTCTTCTACAGTTTGCAGTGATGATTTGGGCTGCTGTTTTGTACAGCATAAAATTCTTCTAAGTAGTATCCTGATAATCTTTTCCAAAAACATAATTAAATACTTCTGTAGAAATAGAGAATATGTAAGAATTTGACTGCCAAAGCATCTACTAAAAATTTTTAATCTAAATATTGAATATATTAAGTTATTTTATACCTAGATTGAGAAAGGAATGTACCAATGATAATAGAGTATTTATTCTATTGTAACTTTTAAAGGCACCTGAATATTTTATGCAATTCAGATCTGTTCCAGTTCTTAACAGGAGTTGTACACACAAATTCTTAAACTCTAAATTTTGTCCAACTTTGTTTTGCCAGGTCACTTAAATGGCAAATTGTGTGTACTGCATGGGGATTTAAGATACGGTACATTCTTTATTCAGAATGTTTACTGTTGAGAAAATGCTAATTACATGAGCACTGCCAGTTGCTGTTAAATTTAAAAGTGGAGTGCTCATTTGCTTTTCTAGCCTGCTGTTTCAACTTGTGTCTAAAGATTTCCCAGGATCTTCAGTTCTTTTTCTATTTCTAATTTTAAAATATTTTAAATGCATTGATGGTCAGAAAAGGACTATAGTGCGTCATCTTCCTTTTCTGCCTGTGTGCTGGTTGGAAAGTATTCATTTTAACTGCTATATTTTTATACTCCTCTGTTGATGTTAGTTTTGCTGTTGGGATGGGATTTAGCAAACAAATCCTTTAATGGAGACTAAACTTAATTTGGAGAACTCCTATTCCAAGCAGTGGGGCAAGCAGTGAGAAAAACAAAACCAGGAGACACAAATGTAATAGCAGCTGCCTTAGTACAGATGTCTGACTTGACAATATTAAACCCTACCATATCACTTTTATTTGCTTTAAGCAGATGATTTGGTGGTAGAACAACAGCTCAGGCGCCCTAAATGCCGAATAAGATTGAACCCAATATTAATTATCTACACTGCAGTGGGATGAATTTATGACTTATGCTAGACCCAGAGGTTTTGTCTTCTCTCTCTCTCTCTGCCTACAATGTGAAATATGCAGGATATAAACAAAACCAATTTAGCAATTCTTTTTTTGAAATAGGATTGAGCCTTAAATCTTCACCCAATGCTTTCTGTAAAACAGAGAAGAGCACAACATAGAGGCCAATGAGACAGCCAAAATATTTGCATGGCTTATTTGTTCTGTTTCAGTAAGTGATGGCTAATGCACACCTGGTGAATAATCCTAATACAACTGATCTCAGTTCTGCTCTTGTTTTCATTACCATTTTTAGCTGCCTTGTTCCTGTGGTATCCTAGGGCTTCTGTCCTGCCTGGCGCTTGCTCGGGGTGCGATGTTCCCAACCCGGTGCGCTCTTGCAAATTAAATATACAGGTCTGCAGTCCTGTATACTTCTACCACCTACCCCAGTGATCAGGAGCCTCAAAATACATCTGTAATGAGATCTGAGGGAAGGAGGAGTCTGTGCAAAGGTGTCTCTTGCTGCTCTCCTTGTTTGCACCTAGAGGAAAAAAAAGCAGTTGAAGCCTAGCTTTGGCACTGAGTTGGAAAAGCAACAAATATCTCTGGAGAGGGAAGCAGGGTTTTTTTCTTTCCTTTTGCTTCTGCTGGGAGGTTCTGATCTCACCGAGAGCTCTGCTACTATGGGAACCTATCAGTATGTCTCTGCCTGCATTAGGAGCCCAGCCGTGCAGATCCTTCTGCAGCAGGAAAAGGCCTTCGTTGATGCATTCGAAATCTAGAAGCCTTTATCTGTCCCCTGCCTAAGATAAGAGCTTATGGGCTATGAGGTGTTAACTTGTCCCACCTAACTCATAGAAGCTATTCTGACAAGTCTTGATCCAGTGCTACAGCTGTTAAGCTGCAGCTGAGATAGTCCAAGCTCTTGCTTCTTCCTTGGCAAATGTTCCTGAAAGTATAGGGCCTGCAGGGGTTTCCATCTAGTGCCGTATGTGTTGTACTATGAGAAACCAAGTATGTTTTTTTTAAATTAGCAATGTTTTTTATAACAGAACATTCTGGATAAGAAGTTCTAACATAAGGTGACACGCACTGTGTCATGTTATATGGCAGGGAATCGTAACTGTTCTCTGGTTCCGATAGCAGGCATCCCAGTCACAAATGTGGATGATCTTAATACATATCTTGGCCAATGGATGTTATTATTTGTTTACAAAAATACTTACTGTATGTAGGCAGTGTCTGCCTGCATAAGGACTTGCTGCACCTCCTCATGCTCATTTTCTTTATGGTTTGTGTTTAAGGAAATAGGTTTTGCACAGAGGAAATGGGATTGTAAGAGAAAAGTCCACAATGAGGCATGAGTCCATTGTTCTTACATAGCACTCACCTTACTGAGTTGCTCCTTCGTCCTTCCCTTCCACCAACAATTGACCTTAAGCATCTAGATCTGCAGATATACATACGGTGAGAACGGGGCAGTGGCTGGCTACACCGTTTTGTCTGCTTCTGGGCAAGCACTGCAGGAAAAGACCCAGAAAATAACTTTGAGGACCTGTGTGTCCATGCTGAGGCCCCAGATACAGCTATGGATCTCCAGGCCTTTCTGAGGAACCAGTAACTGGTGGCACCTGGGTGTGTAAAGCCTCTAGTTCCTCAATGAGACACAGCTTCCTGCTGACCAGGCAAATATTACAGCCTTAGCGTTCGCTGTAAAATCTGTACTGTGAACTTCCACGTGCAACTACTTAAGAAAGTCCTTGGCTAGGATTCGAGGATTCAAATGTCCAGGTCATAGATTCGACACAGTTCACCCAAATGGGTTTTTAAAACCTTATTAAGAAGTGCCTTTATACCTACTGCTGTGATAGTTAATAATTCAGGTGGCACTGGAACTGGAAAACCTGAACTGAGCCTGTGACTGGGTGGTGCAGTCTTGTATGTTGCGCCAGTGTGTACAAGACACAGTCGGACCCATGGTGCATGTGGAAGACCAAATAATCTGTCCTTGACAAACCTCTGGGCATGAGATTGATTCAGATATTAATGTGCAGTGGAAGATGAACTGGGAACGCTCACAAGTAGCCTGATGCTTTTGTGAATAAATGAGTAGTTGTTGCTTACATTTACATTTAAACTGGTGACAGTTAACTTTCTCTCCCGATACCTGAAAGTGCAGGTAGCTGCTCTGCTTGAGGTGATTAGCTGTGTGGTGTCTATCCTGCCTTGTGCCATGATTGTTCATTGAATTTGTTCCTGGACATAAGTGAGCAGTGCAGCATTTCTGGCTCCTCATATTTTTGGGGTGTGTGAAGAGAGGAAGCTGCTGTTACAGAGACAGGAACAGGTCCTGTACTGTTTCCTGTAGTTAAATTTGAATTTGAACTAATGCTATCGTTTAATGGACTCCTGCAGAAACAGACCACGTTGGCAGAAGTTGGTTCTGCTGGGAAGGTGAAACAATTTATTGGCGTTTTCCTACTTGTTCAAATTTACTGTTGTAAGAAAGGTTCTTTGAAACCTCCCTGCTGCACTACCGTCTTAGGCTGGAACAAGTTTTTCTCATGAAGGCAACCGAGAGCCACAATCTTGACTGTTTTTTGTTTGGGGGGAAATCAGTGGGATGGACTCAGAGATCAAGTCTCTGAATCCAAATAGATGGACTAACAGATGAGACCATAAAACCTTGCTAAGAACTTGTGGAAAGCAGATGGATATGCTTGTTTGCTGTTTACCACCTAGTTCCTCAAAGCGTACAGGCAGCCCTTGCAGCTGTATGCCAAGTAAGGAACTCCACTGTGATCATACATCAGAGTAATTACATGTTTGTGATACTCTCAGCTTTGTACTTAAAGCATTTCCATGCGATTCAAAAACCTCGTACTTGTCCAGCTAATTCAGTAAATCCTGGCTGGGTTGGGCCACTTTTGTCTGAAACGGGTAATTCAGTGTTGCTAATGTATGCGTAGTCCGGAGAGAGGGTTTATCCCCTCACAGGATCATAAACACTGCATGTGTATTTATTTATTTATTTTGTGTTTTAGCACCTTTTTACAAATCTAGAAGCGCTTTGAAATTATAAGCTATGCACATATAATTGCTTCGTCAGCCACAAGTGCAGACAGTTCTGAGCTAGAACATTGCTATTAATGAAGCATTCATTGCACTTGCGAAAAAAACTGTTTTTTAACAGTTGTCTGGTTCTGACCAATGCATCAGAAAAATTTGAGAACTCAAGATACTGCTGTTCCAACTTTGGCTAGCAGCCCACAGTATCGTGGGCATCTCTGAACAGATTGGTAACAAAACTGCTTTTGAAACATGCTTTAAAGATTTTGTGCTATAAAGAATTTATGCTATAAACTGTTAGGCTTTTCTTCTAAATAAGTTGATGAAGCAAAATACCACAAGGCTGCACCTGTGTGGCTAGATGAGAGAGATGATCTGCAGCGAAAATTTTGCTCTCGTCTTTCATTCTGGGCTTTAGAAGAAATGTCTTTTGCTTGCAGGCTGTATCCCCTCATTTTATTTGCCTTTCTCTCCTTGCATTTGTTTTTTAAGGGTATTGTAAACCTGCTTCACTCCCACTCTGCTTCATGTCAAGTGTGATGTCTTTGGTGCTAGAAACTAGCAAAGACTTCTTCGCCAGGTCTTGTTGATCCTTTCCTTTTCATAGCAGGACAACCGGCGGTGTTGAAGCAAAGTCAAGGATCATACTTTATTATATGGGTTGGTTTTCCTCTGTGAAAACTGCTTCTTTGTTTTGTGAAGTGGCCTACAAGTTCTTGTGGGAGGAAAACACATAATCAGCGCCATGACATTTTACTCTGTTTTCAGTCTTGTAAACAGTAGTTTGAACTCAGTGTTTCACATGAATGTACAAGGGAATGCCGGGGGTCAGGTGCTTAGAAAGCTTTGGGGTTTTGTACTTGTAACAGGATATGTAGCTTGGGAGCTGGTATGTCTCTACATTTTCAACATGCTGAAGACAGAATGCCTGTGTGCCCCAGGATGGGGATGCAGACACACTGCACATGGTCTGAAGTAGAAACTTTGGGAGACTGGCATGATGGCTGCTTTCTAATGCCCGAAGAAACTCTGTAGGGTTCAAGGAGGCCTTAAATCCCATTTTGTTTTGTTTTTTTTTCTCAAAGCTGGTTTCAACTCATTCCACACCTGTTCAGTAATGTTATTTTTTAAAAGTTGGAATTTATTTCAGATGTAAGCCACGTTGGCTTTCCCCTGTTTGCCAGTCTCCAGTAGTTCCCAGTGTGTAGCATACAGCTCCTGGCACAAACTTCTTCAGAGCCACAGTCATCAGCTTTGAAACTGTTCCAGCAGCTTAAAGCTTGCAGGGCTTTTGCTCGCCAGAGCTGCGGGGTGCATCACTGCAGCCATGCTTTTGCCAAAGAAGCCTCAGTGCGAAGCCAGAATAATTTTGGAAAGCTATGGGGAAATAATGTCTCTTACTCATACCGTAGCTTTATTTTTCCTCTTACCGATACACGTCCAGGTGCTTAGGTGTCATCAGACATCCATGCAAACTTAAAGCAAGGGGAATTAACTTTCAGAGAAAATTGTTCAACTTGTTGTATGCAAGCTGAGAAAGTATTTACTAGGGTCATATGGGCTCACTGTCTACTTTTTGTTTACCACCAGTGAGTGGTCTTCAGTCTCATATATGCCATGTTCAAAAAACTGGATGCAAAGTAGTCAAAATGTAAAGACTTTTTCTTAACGGTGAATGGTTTTTAATTAGTCTTTTTCAAAGTTCTTAATATCGCAAGGGAACTTTTTGGTGTGTATGTGTGGTTTTATTTTACTAAGCTGTAGCCCAGTGGAGGTTTGCTAGTTTATTTAACATTTTTTGAGAGTGTTGTGATCTGTAGTAACTGTAACACTTTGACTTTTAAGGATTGGCAAAGATTTCAGAATTGTAAGATCTTATTTGTAAAGTAGTCAACAGCTTTGCCTTTCTCAAGCATGTTAATGGGTTTAATGGACACTTCCTTTTGTATACAGAGTGAATGTATTGTTATAGATTTAATGTTTAATGGACCAATAAAGTTTTTCTTACATTTGAAATCAATTGTTGTGATACATGAAAGTCGAGAAGTCAACTAATTCTAGGAGAAACTTTAAAAATGTATAAACATATGAGCTAAGCAGTTACTGAGCCAGTAAAAGTAAATTCGCTGAACTTTGTTCACTACATTTGGATGTTGTTTAACAAAAAAAATGTTGGCCTGTGGAATATTACATGGCTTCACTGTTCATGTTATTTTTTTATTCCTCCAGAACATGATCTCAGAAGATGTGAAATTGCACAGATTTGTCCATCGCGTCTGCTCTGTACAATCCAGAGCTATCTGTCAGATACCTCTGACAGTGCAAACAAAGCATTTTCCAGGCCAAGTATAGCACTGAAGGCTGTGCAGTTGTTTGAAACAAGGATCTCTGATTTTTTTTTTTTTTTTTTTTTTTTTTTTTTTTTTTTTTTTTCCTTTCCTTATTTGCACAGATGGTGGGTTGGGCAGCTGCTGAATTTGACACCTAAATCCACACCAGGGAAAGTGCTTTGTCTCCATGTGTCCTGGTCCCTTGCTTCTCCCCATCCGTGTTTGGGGCTGTTGTGGAGTCCTGTTTCAGCATGTGCCGGCTGGGGCCTGCCAGCTGCATCTGGCCAGGCCCACACCAGGACACTGGTTCCTTTTGGTGATGGGTAGCTGCCGATCCAGTTTCAAAGGGTCGAATGGCAGCGGCTGTTCTCTGGGCGGCTCTGGCGCATGAGAGAGTTCTGTGCGCATAGCTGGGCGGCTCTGCGTTTTGGCTGAGGTGCGAGGCAGCAGTTCCCGAGGGGTGCCGAGGGTCTGCAAGGGCTGACCCCCTTTGCTCAGCAGCCTCCCACCACTCCGCCCGCCCCTGCCTTCACCCCACCCCGCAGCATCCTGGCGGGGTGTTCTCTTCTGGTGTTGCAAACCGGGAGGTGGTCGTCAGGGAACGGAAGCATTTGAAGTGTGTTTGTTGTGGTGTTTGTAGCACACAGGAAAGGGTTAATCTCTGGTAAGACGTGAGACCCTGGTGCTGGAGCCCCAGAACTCTGAACTTCAAAGTGGTTGCAGCTGCTGCTCCAGCTGAGTGCAGCCCAGCTGTGCAGGCGGTGGGGGTGAGAGGGAACTATGGGTTTGGTTTTAAAGATGTGGGATTGCAATGTCTTTACTTGCCAGAGGCCACACATGGAGCTATGTCTGTGTTGCACAATAGTGCAGAAAGAGGTGATGGTGCAAGAGGAGCTTGTTTAAATGCTTACACAGAGTTACTGCACAGCTTCTGACAGGAGTGTGAGGGGCAGGAGTTTCCCAAGCCCGGACTATGACCTTGGGGCAGATCTTTGTCTGCGACAGCTTAACTTTACAGTTCCTGAATTTGTAGGCTACCCAGCAGTCAGTGTGTCAGCACAACAGACATAGTGAGGTCCCATTGTAAGGTCCCAACAGCATCTTCTGAAACAAAAAGTTCTGGCTGGCTGAGCATCAGCTGGTTTCTGTGACTACCAGTTGAGCAAGCCAGTATGCGCTCAGCTGGGGGAGGTTAGAAGCTCACAGCCTGATGAAGTTACCCTTGGCAGCGCAAGAGCCAGAGCTTTTATCTCATCGTGCAGCCTCCGGTAGCCAACAGCCATAGTGTAGACTGGAAGAGAGCTTGGAAATAGGCAAGCTCGAAGGTGGCAAACTGGTGTGGCAAGCAGCCAGGGTGCTCCCTCCCAGCCACTGTGGCAGGAGGAGGGCCTCTGGCCATGGGCGCAGGTTTGGAGGCCGGCAGGGATTTGAGGGCTGGCAGTGCATGTGTCTCCTGAGGGAGCTGATGCGTGCTGTCGTGCTCTGACCAGCACATGCTGCAGGCAGGTCGAGGTGGGCTGGGACTGTTGCATCCACTGTGAGGAGACAACTCGTGCAAAACGTGCGTACGGCAGGCCCTGGCCGTGGTGCACCATGGTGTGTGCATGCGTAGTACCAGTAACTGCCCTCTGCCCAGGTTGCACCCAAACCATTCAGAGAGGATTTTTTGCCTGGAGAAGGCTCCATCCAGTGAAATGCAAGTGCATGATAAGAAAGATGTAAATTTGCTTTACATTTATGGTCTGTGTTTTTGTTCATAAATGAACAATACAGCAGTTCCAGCCTATGTTCAGCTAGAAAGAGGTGGTTTTTCTCATCTTTTAAGCACAACTTGACAATACCCTCTGTGTTGCTCCGAAATAACTAGTTTTTCAATCCTCTCTTGAAAAACTGGTGAGTGAAGTTGGGTCTGGTAAAGCCAAGGGGAAAGGAGAACTTCAACTGGAGGACCTTTCATGATGAAGCACCATGGCAGAGGAACACTCCTGCATTATGCTCTTTGCTGTGGGGCTCTGGGATCCCTCGTGGGACAGGTCCCAGAGCCGTGCTGCTCCCAGAAGCCTTGGCAATGGAGGACAAGCCTGTGGTGAAAACTCTTCCCATAGCCCAAGCCATTGATAGAACCATAAACCTTAAGGGTATTTTTATTGTACTGAGAACAGGACACTTTTTTTGGTGTTGTTTTGATACTGTCACCTGATAATTTAACTTGCCATTTCACCTCTGGTTTTGTGCTGGGAAAGAGCCATGGCTGTTCATTTTCTCAAGCCTACTTCTGATTTTTAAAACCTTCACTGTATTCCTCCATGTGTATTCTATTTCCTCCCTCTTCCCCCTCCCCCCCCCGCACTGTCCTTTTAAAAGTAATTATCCTCTAGCCTGCAATATCCTTCTCTTCAGCTGTCCTTGGAGCTTGTCCTCCCTTCCTTTCCTAGTTCTGTTTTGAAGAAGAACGTAGTAGACATGCACATGGTATTGCCAACACTTTTTAATAGTTTGAATATTACAGAGTGCACTGTGATACACGTTTTTTTGGCTTTTTGGTTTCTAATCCTTTCCTGATGGCTGCTGATGCTTAATGCAGTATTTTGGGTTTTTAACCTGCTGACTTATTTTTGTAAGATTGCAGTACCTGCTGAGAGAGCTCAGCTCTGCTTGGGGACAGCAAGTCAAAGCCTGGCTTTGTGTATGTGAAAGTTAGGATTATTATCGCTCTATAGGTGATTCTGTGATTCTGCATTTATCTCCGTATGTTGTTTTCAGTTTTAGTCACATGCAAGTCATAAGACATGACTACATCATCCTGCAGTCAGCTTTTTTGCTTTTACAGGACATGATAGTGTTACTCATAATTTTCTGGGAGTAGGAGGTTGGGGGGGTCCAATATAGTTAGAGGAGGTCTGCCAGAGGCAACTAAGTCTCCAAAGGAGTTAAACTACTCTAAAGGTGATAAAACATTTTCTTAGCAGGACTGGAAAAGTACTAAGAAGCCCTTGGCTTGGCCAGACAGCTCCCAACCACTTTATGCCCAGATGCAACCTCTTGTTTCTGACATATTCCGGATAAACAACTTTTCTTCCCCACCCTCTCTAATATTGATTCCAGAATGGCAGTGGATTCAAATTTTTCCTGAGAAGGTTTTAAGCAAGTGTCCCATACTTAAAGTGACCCAGTACATAAAGTGACCGTTACATGCTGCTCCTTAGATTTTAGGGCAAATTTAGAAGTGAAGCCACAGTCTATTTTGTCTCCTTTTTATTTTCACTTTTATACAAAAAAAAGTCTGACATAGTCACATCAATGAGAACAAGCTGCGGTGTGCACTCTTACAACAACAATCATATAAGGATTTAAAAGATACTGTTTTATTGTTTGCAATAGCAATGTTAGTTTTTGCTTTTCCTTCTTAAATATCCCCAACGCCAAATTGCTGAGCTTGAAATTCTTGAAAGTCCTCTGGAATGGTATCTGAAAACAGGAAGATGCACAAAAGTTTAGTCTCTTCTGACAAGACCAAGGAGCACTTAAATTAATGGATTGCCCATCTACTCTTTTTTTTTTTAAGGTAATATGCCCTCTCGTTTACACATTAAGAATGACCAGGGAATGTTTCCAGTTTTAGCTGTACACCACTGAAAAGCACAGAGAGGCTAACAAGACAGTGCTACAGTGTCAGCCCATAATGGAGTCCTATCAATCTTCAAACTACATTTCCACCTGAAAACTCTGTGGCTTCCACTCTCACATTTTTAATAATAAATGCTGCTTAGAAAGGCAGAAAAAGTGGTTGTCTTGCTCTGCACCCCATACACATCTGCAGCGTTGCTATTTCTCATGTATCCTAATTCAGCTTCCCAGTGATGGTTTCCCAACCACAAGACAGGACAGAAATGTTAACACAAAAACCGATAGCAACTAGTAGAAAAACTTCAGAATTGGCAAAAGGAGCTGGAGATGAGTCAGTGTCGTAAGAATGACTACACTTCTGTTTGAAGCGTTGAGTTTGCAGTGTGCCTTTGACAGATCCCAGAATGTTTTATCTGGAGAGCCACAGAGCTAACCATAAAGCTAAAGCTGCAGCCAGAGACTGAGCCACAGCAATGAAGCTCAGCTGCATGACCTCAACTTATTTCTACCCTGATGCAGGACAGGTAATTCTAAACTCAAAAAAGGAAGTGACTATATAAATGCACACAGTGTATAGAAAAAAGGGGGTAAATCCTTTGCTTTCTGTTGATCATTTCTTTTTTTGAGGCTTGAAAATTCTTTTTGAGCTTCCTCTGCACATGTAGGAACTTATCTGAAATGAAAGCAGGGGTACCTGGGGACTCCAGAGGCTTGAGTGGGCTTCACTGACTTACTGCAGCGCCTGCAGCAAAGCCACTGCAAGGAAAGTATCTGCAACTTCAGTGGCAGCTTTGAAACATGCTTTCTGGGAAACCACATACTGTTTGAGACTCTCATCAAGTAATTTTTAATTGTAAACACCACTGTCTAGAAGTTTCCCTATTTAACCATGACCTCCAAGTGCCAACCTAGGTGTACCACATGTTCAGGAACAAGAGTCCTTCACTAAAACATGCCACAGAGCCAGGATCTGGCCATGCAGTGGCTGTGACCCCTGCAGACCTGGGCTGGGCTTCTTGGATCCACGGAAATCGGAAAAGGAAACTATTCCAACTTGGC